GGAACCACATGGGAATGCTGATTATTTTAACTCTGCTCTATATGAAAGGATCTTTGAGGACCCCAAAATCAGTACATGTTTTCTCTCTGCAGTGTTGTTCCAAATTTTCAGTGAAGCCATGTTAACCTGGAACAGTTCAGTTTTAAATTTTACTACCTTCTTTACTTTTCACCAATTTGAGCTCTACAACCTTTTCCAGAGGTTGAAATGAACACACAGCATTAGCACTATGACGGATTTTGCCCGAGTTTGGGATAAAAGTATAGTGTGTGCCCCATAAAATGTGATACAGGACTCTAGAGATGAAGAGTGGTTCTTCTACATCCATGTACGTACTGTAAACCAAATATGATGAGATGATGATTACAGTGGTCGCCTAATCTTTATTCTAGCATTCTGAAGCTAAAGCCAGAAAATTGGTGTTTATCTGCCCAGCTTCCAGCCTCACAAGGTTGCTCCCGTTGGAACAAAGTAAATTATTGGAATGATCGTGCCATCTTTATGCTTTTTGATTTAAAGCCCAATCAGAGAAAGGACAACTCTGGGTCCTATATTTCAAACCTTGATGATGTATTCTTCTTTTAAATGACTATTATTTATCTAGTTTAAGGAGTACATACAGTAAATGTGTCTTTTGTATATATCAGCACCTCAGGGCCAAGTAGAAGCAGTTGTGTCTTCTCCTATGCAGGACTGAGCAGTCAAAGTGATATCTCAGTCCTGCAGGTTACACGGGGAGATTGAGGTTTTCCCTGTGTAACCAGCAGCTCCTCTGTCATTGTGGCATCTGTCCACTATGTTTCAGCAGCCTATTAAACAAAGTACAGCACCAGATGTCACAAAGATCTGATGATTGCACTGGGAGAGTTACATTTGTGTAATCGTCATGACTGAGCTATGACTGCCTGCTTGGGTCCTGATCTGCATTCCTTTATAAAATAAAGCTACTGCTGTACTTGGGCATCCTTGCCATGGGTGCCAGAGGACCTTGCGCCTCACCTAAACTCTAGTCTTAATCAACTTTGTAAAATAGGTATCCACATAGTCCCAATCAATTGTTTTCAACTAATTTCAGAAGCTATCAAAACAATGTATTAGGCTAAATGGAGAATGAAGCGGAGTAGAAAAAAAGTAGTATTCCCTACTTGTACAGTTCATTTTCTCTATTTAGAGTATATAGGAAATACAGGTTTGCGTTGTATTTTTATTTTCTCTTGTGTAAAGCTTTATAGACTTCATTTACATCTGCTATGATCACCTTGTATGTATTCAGGTTTGTATGCAGCGGACCTCAAATCTGAAAAGACGTAACCTTCAATACTTATACGACGACTTTGGAAAACATGCTCATTAACAGATATTGCTTAATCAGCTTAAAGGAAATTACATTATTCCGGCTCTTTCATTTTTTAAACACTTCCCATCTGGGATGAAAAAACATCTTTGTAACATTTTTAAGATTTCCAATACATTTTAGTAGCAGCTACACAGTTACATCATTTGTCATTCAGTTTAAAAGCGTTCAGTGGTCACAGGCTTCCCGTACTATATTCTACATCTCATCATATATGCTGTAACCATGGAACTGAGCCTCCCCTTACCTGTAGCTGAGTATTTTGCTTTTCTACTATTCCCATTGCTGTCTTGTATCTGTTATATTCTTGTCTTTTTTAAAACCTAATTAAATTAAACATTTTTAAAAGCGTTGTGTCTATTCCCCTGCCAAATATAAAACCTTTTTTTTAACCTAGATAAGCATTGTATAGTCATACACTTACTGCATGTTTTTAGGTATCTGATACTATACCTATTATTCTATAATAATAAGAGTTTGGGTCGTAATTTCTCAAGCTGACATGGTACTTCAAGCGTGCTAAAGTGTTCTCCCAATCGATAGGCCACTTTAGCAGGCTTTAATTGACAGCTTGAGGGGCAGCGTCCTTGGTGGTTGCGTAAAATGCAGGCTATCATATTCTTCCACAAAATAAAACAACAGTTGTAACATTACTGAATGTGAATATGCTGCACTAAATTGAATCATATAAACATGTAATTCAAATTAAATCAATCAAGTCTGTGTACTTATATATATATATATATATATATATATATGCTCAAGGTCATCAATAATTATTATTAGTATAAATGTCCATGTGTGAATCCTTGATCAAGTCCATAAATATGTTTGATCCACTAAAAAATATGTGTAATAGTAGATGCCTCCACCATACTTCCCTTTGGGCATACGCTCCCAAAGGTAAAATTGCACCTCCAGGTCAATAAAATCTATGTTGACCTAGCTGGACTCTCCTAAGAGCTCACAATATCCTCCTCAGAACAACTCAGCAACTCAGATTTGAGATCAGTTTAACTTACCTTTTACACTGACCTCAAGCTTTTATTTTGGTTTTAACAAGAAAATATTACAGTGAACACTATGTCAGCCTTTGTCTCATTGAGCATTGATCTGCCTTGCATTATCTGAGCTGTTGATGGAGTTCTGAGAAGGATATTGTGAGCTCTGAGGAGACTCCAGCAGGGTAACATAGATCTAGTAGACCTATCTGGAGGCGCAATTTGACCTTTGTTATGAAAGTCAAACTTATAAGGTGAAAGTGTGCCCAAAAGTATGGTGGAGGTGTCTACTACTCCACACCTTTTTCACTGGATTGAAGTTTGGATTGAAGACATATAAAATTTGATCACAGATTCACGCATGGACATTTATGTTAACATTGAGGACTTTGAACACATATACTGTATATGGTACACAGTCTTGGTTGATTTATTTTAAATTATATGTTTAGATTATTTAATTTAGCACAGCATATTCACACTCATTAATTTTGGGTGATTCATCCACTTTTGCTTACACCTTTTGTTTTTACTACTGGTGCATAGAGTTACTACATATACGAATTGTAACATTATCCTAAAATAGGTGGCTGTAATGGTTAATTGTAAGCAGAAAAAGCCATATTGCCTGTACAGTGGAGTCATCTGAAGGCAGATTCCAAAAATCCACCGGTTCAAATAAGACTGTCATTAAGAGGTACATGTAGAAGAAGTGGGGAACACTATAGTTAAATAAGACCTTTTCTGTGACATTTAAGTTCAAGTGGTACAGGAATGGGTCCATTGGCACTGAAAGTGGCATGGTAGAAACTGTAGGAGCATGACTGGCACCTGTAGGGAGGTGAGTGGTAGAAAGTAACAGGTAGCAGAAGTAAGGTTATTAGATACACCAGGCAGTACTCCAGCAAAACAGAACACTCTGGTGACGTGTTCCCACAGAGTCACATGGAGGAGTATTGAGAAGGGCCACACAGTTATTAGCAAAAGGTCCCTCAGCAGTCCATGTCTGCCACTAATAGTTCTCATTACTTTAGATCAGTGGTCTCCAAACTACAGCCTGAGGGCCAGATGTGGCCCTTTGCTTGCCCTTATCTGGCCCAAGGGGCACTATTCCACCAACTGTCACCAGTGATGGAGCACCATTCCCTCCACAGACACTATCAATGGGGCATTATACTTCTCATTGATATCAACAATGGAACGCTATTCTTCTCACTGATGTCAACAATGGGGCACTACTCCTCCTATTAAAACTGATGGGGAACTGATGCCAGGGCATTTTCTACTCCCATTGGCTACAGTCCAGCCCTGTCTAAAGTCTGAAAGAGAGTAAACTGGCCCTTTGCGTAGAAAGTTTGGAGACCCCTGTTTTAGATGAACAGATAAATTGTTTAGACTATTTTCATGTGTTTGAGAATATTACAGAATTTATGCTATAACATAGATGTTAGGTTTCATGGACTTTTTATATATTTTTGCTTGACCCTCATTTGCTGCCTGAAAACAACAATAGGCTAAGGGTATATGCACAGTCATTTGCTGAAAAGAAAACAATGGTTTTTTCAAAGATATTTTTGATTTGTGTAATAATTAAAGACATCAATCAATATTAATATGTTTGATAAAGCAAGCATAGGGTGTAATAGTGCATGTCATGCTCCATTCTGTGCACAAGAGAAAACATGGTTCATTCCTTGTCTGTTCAAGTGTCTTGCTGGTTCCTGACAGATAACCAAGTAGTGGGCAGACTCCTTCTTAATTCTATATTCCTAAATTGCAAATACACAGGGAAGATATCTAAACTAAGTAATCGCTTATATTTTTATACAAAATCATCCAAAATATTGCTTTTGTATTTAAGTGGTATATGTGCAATCTTTAGATTTCATTACATTCCTATCATAGGATATCTCCTAACTGCTACAAAGTCAATTTACAAATTATTTCAGCAGCTCATATTTAAGCTGCTTTCTAATCTGTATGAGCTAAAATACCATAAGGCAAACTATTATTAACAGCTGCTCAAGCTCTAATGTTCTTACCGAACACTGACATTCCAAGCTCTGCCTCAGTTCTGACATAGGGGAAAATTATTTCCTTGGAGCATAGTTCAGAAAAGTACTGAAAGCGACACAAGTTTGGATTTTGTGACCTAAATAGAGACAATTATAATGCTTTTGGATTTGTAACTTATGACCAAGTTTTCTTAATGTTACACCTACTTGGCCACACTCTGCCTATCAGAGGTCTGTTCTCAAAGTTCACGTTCTGTTCCCTTGTTCTCTGCACTACTACATAGATAGTAAATTATCAAGCATTAAAATGTACAATATATTTAGTGGTTGAGTAAAAATTGAGGCATATTTAAATTAGGCACATTATACTTGTCAACCTCTTCAGTGCAGTAAAGGGTGTGCAAATTATTACAGGGGATTCACACTTCTCTTCCTTTTGCAAACAGGTTATGTAAAAATACAATCAACTGCAATCACTAGAAGGTAAGAAAATAGATACATCACGTTCCCTCTGTAAGCACACACGCAAAAAGAAAATCATACAGGTTTTGGCTGTTATATGAATGGGCCAGAAACGATAAAACAAAGCTTGCTTGAATGAAAGGCAACTGTGCTCATATCACTGGGATCTTATCTGTCTTTTGAGGTCAGCTTTTCAATTAGTTCCTGCAGGGGAGCTTGTTCTCTTCTGTCAATTAAGTTAAATTCCTTAAAAAAAAAAAAAGAAAAAAAAAAGAAAAATTAGAGTGTAAAATAGAGTACGTTCTTACAACTCATGAAGCCACATATTGTTTTATTATCTCAATTACTGGTACATATATCTTGATTGTTACATATTTATCATTGCGTTTTACATGTGTTTTTAGTACAATATTTTAATAAATACCCTGCTCAGATGTATTATTATAACCTGTCAAATAGACAAAAACATTTGTTAATTTTTTAAAATATTTCTTATGGGTTTGTTTGCGAACAAAGCTCATGTGGTCAAAGCTAACATGTTGATCACATTAAAATAAACTATGCCGATTGGTCCTTGATTGTTTTTAGATACCAAGTACTGCCACTGACATTAATTTTTCACAGATAGGAGTGCACATAGCTGCAATAATAGTTTGAGTTGTGAACACTCAGACTTGACAGGTAATGGACAAATGGGCAACTAGAACTGCAAATACAATCTGAAATAGGGAGAATCCCTGATGAAGCAAATTCTGGCCAGGTGGACTATTACTATTACTGGGGTAAAAAGGCGTGTATGAGCAGCATCAGTGAGGGCTCCAAACTGTGCCTTTACACAGGCCCCTCTGCAGTCTATGCCTGCCACTTTCCTAAAGCTGAACTCCAGAAAACTAAAAAAGTCCTTCTTTGCAGTGCGCTTGCGACGGCTTACTTGGTCTGGGGCAGTGGTCACCAAACTGTGGCTTGTGGGCCGGATGTGGCCTTTTGCTTGCATTTATCTGGCCCTGGGGTCACTATTCATCCCACTGATGAGAGGCATTATTCTTCCCACTGTCAACAAGGTTGCGGCCCAATTCCTTCCACTGACACTAGTTGTGGGGCATAAATCCTTCCACTGACATCAATGATGGGGCACTGTTTCTTCCACTGAAACCAACAATGGGCCACTATTCCTCCCAATGTCACCAATGATGGGGCACTACTTCTACCAATGACACCAATGATCGGGCACTATTCTTCCCACCAATACAGAAGATGGGGCATTATCTCTCCTCCTACTAACCACATACGATTTGTCATTTTTTTACTCCTACTGACCACCAAGCCTAAAGAAATGTTTACTCCTACTGACGCTGGGGTATTTTCTACTTCCACTGGCACAGTCCGGCCCCCTAAACTCTGAACGACAGTAGATTGGCCTTTTGCTTAGAAATTTACAGATCCCTGTTCTAGGGGATGGTAAGAGCACTTTTACTTACCTGATCCCACAGCAAATGGTGCTGCCTTGTGCTCTGGCATTGGACTGTCCCATGGAGTCCTCATGTCCAATGCAGGGCTATGGTTCCTGCATCAGTTTTGATGATGCCAGAGGACCGTAGACTCCCTGAGTTCGGCGGGGGAGGGGAGAGAGGCTGGACTATCAGCTCTGAGGAACTTGTGAGAGTGGAGAATCAGATAAGTAAAAACTGATTTTCATGGTCTCTTAGGCATAAATGACTCACTGCAAGGGTGGACTTTTTAGTTTTCTGGAGTTCAGCTTTAATGTCAAAGCATATTATTTTGGCAGTTACAACAAACTATACGATACGTAGGCCTTTTCAGGTTTCAGCATAAAAAGAACATACAGTTACCTGGACAAAAAATATAAAGTGCTTGAAAGATGTGTTGAGATGTGCCTCTTCCTGCAGTTGGATCACTGAGTCAAAGTGCTGGTGATAGATGTGGGCGTAAACCCGGAAAAGTCGTTTTAATATGATTTTAGCTACAGACATAAAGTTCTTTGGAAATGGAACCCCTAGAAAATAAAAGGAAATTAAAAGAATGTCATTACATCTCCAAAATCTACCACTTATTAGGATTAAGTATAAAACAAGTTTACAATAGGGGCCTGATGTACTAGAGAGTGAAGTAAATAGAGCCTGTGCTCACTTCTATCATTAAAGCATGTGCAGGAGAATCACAAGTATGAACTTCTGCTAATGATTGGATGTCTAAAGCAAATGAAGGTTCACCGTGAAAATGATAGGTATTTAAAGTGGAGCTCCACCCAAAAGAGGAAGTTCCGCTTTAAATGCTTTGACCCCCACTCCCCATGAAGGATTGGCACCTTTGGGGAGCGGGTACCCGAATTTGACAGGTACCTGCTCCCACTTACGCTGCGATCGCCTAGGCGATCGGAAGCGGAAGTTGTCCTCCCTCCCCGTAGTCTTCTGGGACACGTGACAGGTCCCAAAAGACTACGGGGCCATTCACAAAGCATAGCGCTTCTTGCTCATGCGCAGTGGGCACCCAGCTGTGAAGCCACAAGCTGTCACAGCCGGGTGCTCACCATAAAGATGCTGGCATCAGGGAGAGAAGACAGCCAGTGAAACCAGCAGTGGTGAGGACACTGCTGGACCGAGGGACAGGTAAGGGTCTGTATTTTAAAAGTTAGCAGCTACAGTTTTTGTAGCTGCTGACTTTTATTTATTTTCAGTTGTAACTCCGCTTTAACCACTTGCCTACCAGACACATTTACTCCCTCCCTTCTAAGAAAAAAACAATCTTTTGAAGATAGTGAAGTGCAACTTTTGAACAGAGAGAAGAGTGAAAGAGGCCATCTACTGTACATCAAATTGGAACAACTATTATTTAACAGGAGCAGAGGCTTTCAATGCCATTTGTCTTCCACATATAATGCCATTTTAACATTTCTACCACAGCATTTTGACAACAAATCACTCTTTCAACCATGAAAATCGAAGCATTTAAAAAGCTTTCCGGAAAGCAAGAATGGGATTATGGAACTACTACAGAGTGATTCCACAATTTTCTCACCAATTACCTTGCCCTTAGACAAAAATATCTGCCTTCTCTTATTGTAACTGGATCAATGTGTTGGTGCTACCAGCTTGCATATACTGTAAGTGCTTGTGTATTTTCCAAACACTCATTAGAATGAAGAAATGGCTTGGACAAGCTACACAACATCTTCAACACTACAAAACAAGTTCTGTTGAATGTGACTACTACTAAATTACAAGATATCTTTTCCATGAGTGAGTGCTTACCGATTTTTGAAGGAAAGAGAGTTTCATCATCAAGCTGGTCTTGCACCCAAGTCATCAGATAATCAATATATTTAGGGGCAGAACACTTAATTGGCTTCTTTATGTTGGTTCCATCAGCCCAATGATATTCATATCTAAAAAAAAAATACACAATGATCTTTGGACACATCCGTGTTCTTGCCCACGTATTTCTGCACCGTACATCTAATCTAACACAGCCCTGTGCCATCATTATCTATAGCAGTGGTCTGTAAAGCTGAATTCCAAGTATGTTTTGTATTGCACAGTTACTTTGGTCCAGCTAGTTTCTGTTACTACAGTAATTGCCACTACCTTCCAGGTCCTGTGCAGGGGGACTGCGCTGCTGCATAGTAGCCAGAGGGGGTTGCCTACTCAGCACAGGCACCATTCACAGAACACCTTGCATTTATCTCAATTAATGCAAAATGATCTCCAATTGGATAAGGTGGAGCGGTGGGTGGGGGCGGTCACTTTACGATCTCCACCTACTGAAATCAAAGAAATATTAAAAAAGGGAAGGATCATTGCCTTTCCAGACATTTTAGGGACGTACACAATTGTGATCCGGTGTCTCTAAAATTCTGTGGTATAGACAAAATACCACAGAATTATGGAGAGGTGGGAATAAAATTATTCACTAAAACTTATTTTAAAGAAACGGACAGAAACGGCTATATACCGACAAGTAGCTGCCACCATCCCACATGGATCAGCAGTATACCTAAAAGTCAATTTGTTAGGATTATGCGTAATTGTTCAAGACTTAAAGAATATATCAAACAAACTGAGATGATTAAAAAAAAAAAATGCAGAAGTGTGTGTGTGTGTTTTGCGACCACTTTAGCAATGGAGTATAATTAAATATTTGCCCATCCTCAGACTGGTCACTGTAATGCCAGGATCCTCTGGTTCCTAGTCTCTTACTTGACCTGTGAGTAAATGTGGCACAATTTTGTTCCTTTTTGTGCGCCATATATACCTGGTAGTCAAGCCAGAGACTAGATAACAGTGAGAGTTGGTGGTACAGTATCTTTCTGAGGATGGGTAGATATTTTACTGCACATCATTCTTCGTACTGTTTATGCCTATCTACAGAAAGTTCTAATATGGGCAACACAATGGCTAAATGGTTAGCTCTTCCACCTGGCAGTACTAGGGTCATTGGTTGGAATCCCATCCACGGCACCACCTGCCTGGAGTATGCATGTTTTCCCTGTGCCTGCGTGGATTTCCTCCGGGTACTCCAGTTTCCTCCCACACGCCAAAGACATACTGGTAGGTTAATTGAATTCTGTCTAAATTGGCCCTAGTATGTGTATGTATGAATGTAAGTTAGGGACCTTAGATTGTACACCCCTTGAGGGTTAGGGACTGATATGAATGTACAATATACATATACAGTATGTAAAGCGCTGTGTAAGTTGACGGCGCTATATAAGCACCTGTAATAAATAATAATAAATAATTCTTAGGGCACAGTTACCTTGGTGATAAAACAAATGAGTAGCAAAATGTTCACATTCATATGCACAGTAAATAATTTCAATGCAATATGTAGATGTTTGCCCTTTGAATCTATAGAGAACTGATGGCTACCACTTGTCCATTGACTCCACTACTAAACCAGGTAACATCTCATGGGGGCCAATATGTAAGGTAGTTTCTAAGTGTGCGTTTGCGCCCTCTGCTGTTTGGTATGTAGTATGCAGTACAGGATTATTGTTCAGTGCACTTGAACAATGAGCAAAAGGTTCCTCATGGTCCTGGTCATTGCCTCATACCCTATTCTGTGACTCTTTTCTTTAAATTTCCTGACTGTAGTTAAGGATCCTGTATAAATTAGATTTATAATGTTAAAAGCAGAAATATTGCTCTGTACGTTTTTGGATTGTTGATGTCCATTCTAATAAGCTCTAAATGTTACAGGATGTAACAACGACAGACTAAACAAGACCATCTATTTTGATTCCTGTTTCTTTTCAGTTACATTCTGCTGCAGGAACTTTGGCAGATTTTCCAGCACTAATACCATTAGAAAGTAGAAATCAAAGTAATAATAGCTTAATTCACTTTACATTATGATGAATTTCTAACAATGTTAAGAAAAAAAAACGTTTTAGGACTTTTGTTAATATAGTGAACACAGTATAGTATACAGTCAGATCTTATAGGGAATCTCAGGTTTGTCCAGCAGGCAAAGAAAATAATGTACAACTGGACGCGATGCTAATTTGCAAATGTTCTCAGCCATGGTCATTAGCACTCTATACAAAATGAAATCAAATTTCTTCCAGGTTTCTTATTATTAGGGACCAAATCAGTATTCAGCAAGGAAATGCTGAGAAGAGAGACATTGTGGATTCTTACACATAATGAAGAACCGTAATAAGCACTATCTACATCTAAACTAATACAGCAAACCCAAAGCAATTTTTTATTAAAACAACTTCTCCCTAATGTGATGACCAAACAGATGGGCCCCCATGTCAGTGTGTGAAAAATTAAAAAAAAAAACTCCATCTCAGTAATCAGAATGATAGATTTTATTTTAGTTTTGAAAGAGATGAATGTTACATTTTACCAATAAAAATGCAATACAATACAGGGTGTGCCAATCACACTGATGTTGCTGAGTATTATGTATTTTCCAAAAAAGGGACACAGCAGACAATGTTTGCCTTCAGATTCTCTCACCCTGATTGAACCTCTGTTGGACCTGCCATGATAGGCAGAGGGGGTAGGATAAATCACTGATTTAGCTCATTTACAGTGACACTAAACAGTGGCAATTGCTAGACTTCTCACATAAATCATATAAATAATGCCACTGTAATTTTTTTTTAATCCTTTAACCACTTGAGCTCCTGAGGATTTACCCCGCTTAATGACCAGGCCTCTTTTTGCTACTCGGCACTGCACTAATTCAACTGATAATTGCACGGTCATGCAATGCTGCTCCCAAACGAAATTTACCTCCTTTTTTTCACACAGATAGAGCTTTCTTTCGGTGGTATCCGATCATCTGTGCGCTTTTTATTTTTCACGCTATAAACAAATAAAGGCTAAAAATTTTGAAGGAAAACATTTTTTACTTTCAGCTATAAAAAATATATAGTAAACTCAAAAATCCCAATGAGTGTATATTGATTGCTTTGTGTGGAAGTTATAGCGTCTACAATCTATGGTATAAATACTGAGATATACAATTTACGCCATTTTTCTGCTATACAGCGCTGCGCTAGTTTAACGGACAATTGCGCGGTTATGCAATACGGTACATAAATGAAATTTACATCCTTTTTTTCCCCACAAATTGAGCTTTCTTTTGGTGGTATTTGATTGCCTGTGCGGTTTTTCTTTTTTGCGCTATAAAAAAAAAAAGGCTGACAATTTTGAGGGAAAAAAAAACAATATTTTGGACATTTTGCTATAAAACATGTCCAGTAAAAAAAAATGCAAAAATCAAATTTAGTCATAAATTTCTGCCAAAATGCATTCTGCGACATGTCTTTGCTAAAAAAAAAAAAAAATACGTGTAAATTGGTTTACGTGAAAGTTATAGCGTTTACAAATGGCGGGAAAGATACTGGGATTTTTTAGGGTTTTTTTTATACTAATAATGGCGGCGATCAGCGAATTATGGCGGTGATCAGTGACTTATGGCAGCGACCAGCGACTTATGGCGGAACTGCGGCGGACATTCTGACATTGGGGGGTACTGACTTGGGGTCACTGACATCCCCAAAAACACTAATACAGTGATCAGTGCAAAAAAAAAAAAAAAAAAAAAAAAACACTGACACTGTACTAATGGCACTGGGGAGGAAGGGGTTAAGTTTATTTTACAGGGAAGGGTTATCTGTGTGAGGGGGAGTGTTTTACTAGGGGGCGGGGTGTGTGCTGCACTGGACACCGCTGATCGAGAGAGAGAAACTCTTCTTTCTCGATCAGCTCGTCCTCAAGCTGTCAGGGAAGTGACAGACAGCACAGCTACTGCAGCTGTGCTGTCTGCCACTGTTTGCCGCCGATCGCCGGGAAACAGCCGGCTGTGACCCGGCGACTGACATCCGCGGCGGTGATCGGCGGGACAGATAGGGCGGCGGCGCGCCCTCCCCCGTTTACAAAACACACGTTTTAAAACATGGTTTTGCTTGCCCGTGCCGCCCTACCACCGTATTTCTACAGTGGCAGGGCGGCAAGTGGTTAAGTACCTTATATCTGCAGTGTTGTGTGGTCACATGATCTTTCCCTGTTCTTTGGCATCCACAGGGAAAGATCTTTGGGAAGGGCTTCTTTTACTGCAATATGAATCTGTGTCTGCACAGCCCTGATTGGTGCTGTGCCAGACACATGACTAAAGAAAATAGTTTCAGAAATGCAATTCAAATTGAATTATAACTATTAAAAAAGACTTTTTTTATAGCTCCCTATAAATCTTTACTGAACATCAAATGTGCATTTTGTTGTGCATTAAAGAAGAAGTATAGGCAAAGCTATTTTGGCTATACTTCTCCTATGGGTCACATGAGTACAGTTCACTCACAGAGTCAGTCCAGGCTCTGAAAAGATCCTGACCATATTGTCGGGATCCTCCTATAAACCTGGACTGGCGCCTGGCTCAGCCTCTCAGCAACTTGCTGAGAACCTGAGCCAGCCACTCCTGTCCCAGCCCAGTGCTTCATTGTGCACTGGAGGGGCAGAGCAGAGAGACAGACCCAGTTCTCTATTCAGAACAGAGAAGAGAACTGAGAGATCACGATGTTTGAGCGCTCAGTTCTCACTGCAGAGACGGCAAGTGACAAATGCAGCACTGGACTGATGCTGCATCAACCTAGGTGAATATAATTTTTTTTATAAGTTTATACTTCTCTTTTAATATGGTGCAGGCAGAATCAAAGATGACTGACATTAGATTTTTTTTCTGCTTAGCCAGCATCTGCATCCAAGGCTCTTTTTCCACCTTACAGGTATTACCAATTACATTTGATATATTTAAAACAAATTTATATTAAAACTAAGCTTTTTTGTGAGTTTCTTAGTGAATGTAATCAATCACAATACTATATCTCACCCATACAGTATTTAGCAACCGGAAAACACGGAGAAGGAGGGAGGGGAATGTAATTTACCACTGTGTATATGCCCATATGTGTTAACAGATAAGAAGGGGGAGGAAATGAAGAGCTTAGAAGGGAACTAAAACAGGAACATGCCCAGTAGATGGCAACAGCTGTTCTATACAATCTCAGCCTGCTATGGGAACACAGAGAAGATGGGAGGGACAGCTGATGGCAGGATCAACCTAGTATCTTTCACTCTATACATAAAAAATGCTATCGTGGTTTTGTGAGTATGCACACTATTTGATAGAACAGTTAAGAGTTTTTCATAGCCTGGGTTTAACCGCTTCCCGTCCGCCCTATAGCAGAAGAATATATATGTGATTTTTCAGTTCCAGGTAGGGGGTGCACGTGAGGCGAATTACGTGTGGAGAATTACTTGTAAACAATAGTTTTCTCCCCTGTCAGCTCCTGCACTCCGATTTGCATGGCTCTGCATAGCACAGCCATACAAAGCAGTGTGCCTACAGTGAAGCACACACACACAGCACACTATGTAAAACGGCACACAGCACACAACTAACCCTTTGATTGCCCCACATGTTAACCCCTTCCTGCCCAGTGCCATTAGTACAGTGTCGGTGCTTTTTATTAGCACTGATCACTGTATTGGTGTCACTGGGGATGTCAGTGACACCAAGTCAGTTCCCCCCAGTGTCAGAATGCCCGCCGCAGTCCCGCTATAAGTCGCTGATGGCCACCATTACTAGTAAAAATAAAAAATAAATCCCAGTATATATACCGCCATTTGTAACTTTTATAACCTTTGCGTAAACCAATTAATATACACGTATTGGGATTCTTTTTTAGCAGAGACATGTAGCAGAATACATTCTGGCCAAAATTTATGATGAAATTTGATTTTTTTTTAATTTCTTTACTGGACATGTTAATAGCAAAAAGTAAAAAATATTGGTTTTTTTGTCATTCTTTTTTTTCTTATAAAAAAAAAAAAAAAAATAAAAAAATGCACAGGCGCTCAAATACCACCAAAAGAAAGCTCTACTTCTGTGGAAAAAAGGGACGTAAATTTCATTTGGGTGCAGCGTTGATCGTGCAATTGTCAGTTAAAGTAAAGCAGCGCCGTAACGCAAAAAATGGCCTGGTCAGGAAGGGGAGTAAATCCTCTGAAGGGCAAGTGGTTAATGACACGTTAATAGTTGTGTTTTTATTTCAGCTTTGCTATTGAGCTCTACAGTTTAGGAACATCAATTCATAATCTCACCCAGTGAGTGAGTTCCACCAGCTCACTAGGTATGTAGAAACAAAAAATTCATAAACAATGTATCAAATTTACCACACAAAAAATAGTTTTAAAATGTACAATATACTTAATAAAATAAACAAAATGAATAAATATTTACACTTCATACATTCCCTTAAAAGTAAATCTGTCCTCTCGGTAAACCTACCAAGCTGACAATGAGATTACAGATAAGGTGATGTCTTTATGCTGAAGGGACAGCTATAATAAGGAATCCTCCAGTACACAGCCACCATTATAACTGCCTCATAGAGCTAATTTTTTACACAGGCTCTCCAAAGAGAATTATAGCTTCTCCTGTCTCCGTCGCCCTCTATTACACATTAGGTAATCTTGGACAAAGGTCTTTTTTTAAAAGCACAGCAAAAGGATAAGCGGTTGAGAGGCAGTAAAAATGCAGCTTGACTGCAGAGTTTTACACCCCTCATGTACATTGTTTCTTTTCAGTGACAACGCAAGTGCTGTGATATTTTTCCTTTCAGTGACACCACAGAAGTAGGGACATATTTCCTTCCAGTGGCACCACCAATGCTGGGACCCTTTCTTCTTTCAATGACAACACTGATACTGAGATCATTTTTTCTTTTCAGTGACTCCAATTTTTCCAATCGCCATAGTTAACTCTACATTTATGAACCGATTTTAAACTTTTCAGTTCATTGCAGTGTACCACAACCATTACTACAATTTCCGCACATGCCACAAACATTACATACATTTCGCTGCACGTGCCACTATTGACCCATTCCTTCCTCCATCGGGGAGGGGGTGCAGCTTGACATCTTTGCCCTGGGCACTGGATGACATTGTCTGCACTGACTATTGGCAAAAAGTATGTAGGCAAAGGACACACCCTTGTCCCCACCTCCATTACATGACAAAAAATAAAAAAAAGGATTGGTTAACCCACAAGTACTTTTTTTCAACCACTTCTATTTCTTTATACTGGCTTTTCACATTTACGATTTAAATATTGGATGAAAGAATTAGCATTGAAAAATACTTTTCGGCAAGCCTGCGATCTTATGCTTCTATCTGTATACCTGACAGCGGTCACAAGCTATATTCTTTAAAACTTTTCATTAAAAATTAATTGAAAGGAAAAACACGTTTTGATAGATACATGTTGCATTTTTACGTAAAATAAATAGATCAGACCAAAATGAGGAAGAAAATGAGAGAAAGGGACTTTGTTCCAAAAGAGGGACAGTCCTTCCAAATCAGGGACTGTTGGGAGCCATGTCTATGGCATATGTCATGTTAAATTCAATGAAATTTTTTGGGTGCATGCTGTATGCCCAAAGTCTGCCAGTGGTTAACTACAAAAATTATACTAAAAAAAACTCCAAAAAACAATTGAATTAAAATGTAACAGCAGAGTAGATCTGAAGCAGGTATTCATGCTTCTGGGGCAGATTTTGGGATAAAGCACTTCTGAGTATATAAAGTTATTACCACTTAACTAAAAAGATGTCCCACTGAAAAAAGAATGCATACTAATAATGTGGACATTAAGAAAACACATCAAAAAAAAGTCTTACTTGGGTCCAGCAGACATTACTGGACAACTCTCTTCTGTGCAGAAATCTGTAATGGTTCCATATAACATATTGATCTGGTTGAAAAAATCCACAGCTGAAAGTGAAATCAACAAACTATTAGATGCCTAAATGTGTGTAGATGGAAAATTGCGATTCAGAAATTCTGCGCTGTAATAAGATAAAGTCGATCCCTTCAAATACTGCAGTACAAATATTGGAAAGATAGAAATTATATTCAAATACATTTTTGTGTATCTTCCCAAAAGTTCTCTTTTTTTATTCTGTACTTATCATGGGAACAGACCGGAGACATGCAAGCATTTTATTCTCCCAGTTGTTTGATCACAATAAAACTGTGCTGACAAGAAGGTACACAGTGCACATATGCTGATCTAACCTAACATTTACTACATAGGCACCTAAGTATTTGGATAAAATTAAAATTACATCCAATTACATAACATTTACATTGAAACAATGCCTGTGATTCATTTTCAGTCTCATAGTAACCAGGAATGTTTTCTATTGCAATGACAAATAAACACCTATTTAGTTACTACGAGCAATACCCCTATTTCACTTGCTATTGCCCGCATATCTAGGCTCTCATTAGCGTGGGACATGTACAGGATTTGACAGTTCACCCGATTTCTGCTGTCATTTGTAAATTAAGAAGCCGACAGAGGAAGTCTTCCACTACTCACATCATCTGCGGCTCTGACTGATGACATGTTTTGCAAAGCCTGGCAGAGGAAGCGAGAAGTGGAAGACTTCCTCTGCCAGGTTCTGTGTTTGCAATTGACAGCAGTGATTGGGTGAGCTGTCAAATCCTGGGGGGGTCCTGCTTTGATGGAGGTCTGGATGTGCTTGGGTGGCCCAGCGTCACTGGCTCAACAGGAGATATCACACCCAACACTTCTCATCCCTGGGGTCCTGACATATGCCCCGCCCCCTCCCAATTTGCTTATTGAGATCCAGAGGTGATCAGCTTGAACAGTAGGAGCGGATGTATTCCATTTGTAAGGCAATTTGTAACTACTCTTCACTGTCTTACGCAGATATTTATTCCCTTTCCTGTGATGCCTCTATTCTGCACCTCCTCATTCCATATGCGGTGCTGTACATTCTCTATTCTGCACCTCCTCATTCCATATGAGGTGCTGTACATTCTCTATTCTGCACCTCCTCATTCCATATGAGGTGCTGTACATTCTCTATTCTGCACCTCCTCATTCCATATGCGGTGCTGTACATTCTCTATTCTGCACCTCCTCATTCCATATGCGGTGCTGTGCATTCTCTATTCTGCACCTCCTCATTCCATATGAGGTGCTGTACATTCTCTATTCTGCACCTCCTCATTCCATATGCGGTGCTGTACATTCTGTATTCTGCACTCCCTCATTCCATATGCAGTGCTGTACATTCCCTATTCTGCACCCCCTCGTTCCATATGCGGCACTGTACATTCTCTATTCTGCACCCCCTCGTTCCATATGCGGCGCTGTACATTCTCTATTTTGCACCCTCTCGTTCCATATGAGGTGCTGTACATTCTCTATTCTGCACCCCCTCATTCCATATGAGGTGCTGTACATTCTCTATTCTGCACCTCCTCATTCCATATGAGGTGCTGTACATTCTCTATTCTGCACCTCCTCATTCCATATGCAGTGCTGTACATTCTGTATTCTGCACCTCCTCATCCATATGCGGTGCTGTACATTCTCTATTCTGCACCCCCTCGTTCCATATGAGGTGCTGTACATTCTGTATTCTGCACCCCCTCATTCCATATGCGGTGCTGTACATTCTCTATTCTGCACTCCCTCATTCCATATGCGGTGCTGTACATTCTGTATTCTGCACCTCCTCATTCCATATGCAGTGCTGTACATTCTCTATTCTGCACCTCTTCATTCCAAATGCAGTGCTGTACATTCTGTACCCCCTCATTCCATGTGCAGTGCTGTACATTCTCTATTCTGCACCCCCTCATTCCATATGCGGCGCTGTACATTCTCTATTCTGCACCTCCTCATTCTGTTTGCTATATTGCACATAACCTATTCTGCACTCCTTTGTTCTGTCTGCCATGCTGTGTCTACCCTATGCCACCCAAGCTTTCTTCTGTAGTCTGGCATCTTTGCATTGGTCCCAGGCACTCAATGACCTTGTCCTGGCACTGCTTACAACCAAAATGCTTATAAGGAAAGAGAGCGCTTTTTCAAAGTCCACGGTGGTGTGAAAAAACTAAAACCCAGTAAGTGTACAAAAAAATGTGGAAGTGCCAAGACACCACACAAAAAGTGCACTTAGCGGTGTGCTTTGTCTACCCCCCCGAAAGGGGTCGGTTCTCTACCCTGACCCCCCGGGGTGCTAGGCTCCTGACAGGGAAAAGGTTTCAACATGGTTCGCCTAGACAAAAGGCCTGGGTGACCCCTCTCCTCGTGGACAGTTGAGGCCGACCACCGATTACTAGGTCGAGGGGCTCTCCCAAAGAGAGACCGCCCCCCGGGATCAGGGGAGGAGGGAACCTAAGGGCTACACATCCTCCCCTAGACTTCAGGGTAGTCCTGGGGACCCACAACCTCCATACTGTAAAAGTAAAAACAAAACACAAACATAAGTGAAAGTGACAAAACAGTGGGGATAAAATAAATCGAATAAATAGTGACTGTACAATAGTAAGCTGACTAGGCCCTGGGGCCTGGTAGCAAAAACTGCCCCGGACTTAGCCAAAAGGCCTAGCCCTAAAAAGGGGCAGTGCAAAAAAAGTGTTTGGCATCCGTGACCATCTCTGCCTTCCCAGCTCCTGGCTTCCCAGCTCCTGGCTAGACAAGGTAGACTCATTCAAACCAGGCAGAACTGGGCCCATCTGGTTTTCCCAGGGGAATTACTCTCTGGCCCCAACAGGCTGTGGGCACCTCAGTTTCTCTTCCAGCCAGTATCAGCCTTCAGAGCCCCCATCATACTAGAAGAGGTACAATACAGCCAGCCATTCTCACCAAAAGGCAAGACCGATGGCAGAGCACCCCTTCTGGACACTGATATGAACAGATACTACACTTGATCTTAGCCAAAAGGCCAGCTGACATCAGCATGTGCTCCTTAAGTGTCCAGTTACAGGCTTTAGTGGTTCTTGGACCAAGCTGCATTACTTAATGGTAGTGTAGCATGTGGAGAGGTCCAGGACATGGTTGTACTATCTGGTAGGTATGTCTGCATCACTATAACTGCATTGCACCTTAATTGGAAGGTGAAACATTAAACCTGCACACTGTATATGTACACTTATAGTATATATATAATATACACATACAAAAACATGGTATTTCTCCTGTGTGCTATGCTGTTTGAATGGAGAAAACCTTTAAAGGCCGAACCATACTTGTTTTCCTGCAGTAGTTGTTTATTTGTGGTTTAGTGAATTAAAATGCAGTTCATGTAATTTGATTTTTGCGTCCATTGACTATGCATGCTCCTTGAAGTGATGTCGGTACCAGGCAGAGGAGGAAGTTTGCTGCAATCGTGGTCACTTCTCAATTGGACGGATGAGTCCCGGCTTCTATACAGCAACACCTGGCTGTCACCTCTTGACCAGAGGCTGATCCCTGGTGCTGCGATTATTATCACTTCTGCCTGTCACCTACTTGCTCTGGTGCAACTTACAATTTTTTAATACAGTGTTTGTTTTGAATACTACACTATGGTTGCCCTTCCGCTTGTTTGCTTTCTTCCCTAATTTGATTTTACCAACTGAACCATTAGATTACAAAACTTCTAACACACCAACTGCTAAACTTAAACATCATTTGATATATTTTTTTTGGTGTTGAGCTTTAATATAAAAACGCTATGTTCAAACAGATCCTGTACGCTTTATAGCGATACAGTGTTTTAAAGGAAAAACCTTCTAGGATATTTCATTTAGATTTTAGAACATATCAGTGCTTACTATTCACAGCCACCCATTCATTGAGGTCCTCCCCTTCTGGTAACATGACAGCCATGCGGAGGTTTCCACTGCCCAGAGTGGCTTCTGCATGTTTGAGCAGCTCATACTGGTGGGAGCCTTCAGGAATACTCTTCTTTGGTTTGAAGGTCTTCGAAGAGCGATTGCCACTACATGTGAAATAACCACAAAGAAGAAAAAGAGTAAGTTAGTGTTTTAGGTTACCACTGCATGGTGACAAAATTCTTAAAAAATTAGTGTATAATAACATGCTACAGAATAGGAATATACCATTATATAAAAAAAAAAAAAAAAAATACAATTTCAACATGTAAATGTACAGCAGATTTGCATATACAGGTGCATCCCAATAAATTAGAATATCATCAAAAAGTTCATTTATTTCAGTAAATAAAATCTATTTTATAGATTCATTACACCAAGTGATATATTTCAAGTATTTCTTTATTTTAATTTTGAGGATTATGGCTTACAGCTAGTGAAAACCCAAAATTCAGTATCTCAGAAAAGTATTTTAGAATATTGTGAAAAAGCTCAATATTCTAGACCAGTGGTTCTTAACCTGGGTTCGATCGAACCCCAGGGGTTTGGTGAGTCAGTCTCGTGGGTTCGGCGGAGGTGAAGACCCACACCCGACTCATATGATTCGTGATGACATGCCCCGCTTGTCCATCATTGGCTGCAGGTGGTCACGCAACATCGCTTAGCCCAGTGGTCGGCAAGCCGTGGCTCGCGAGCCACATGCGGCTCTTTACACGCTTTAATGCGGCTCTTGTGTGCGGGCGCCCGCTCCCCTCCCTCCTCTCAGGCGGCAGGGACTCTGCAGCGTGATCCAAAAAAAAAAAAAAACAGCCAGGGCAGCGCGCTCAAATGCAATGATTGGCCAGTCTCGCTGCCACTCACATCCTGATAGCCAGTGATTGGCTGTCAGGATGTGTGTAGGCGGGGCAGCGTGACGAACGTGAGAGGAGCTAGGCTCCTCTCACAGTCCGCCCTGAAGACCGGAACGGCGCGGGAATACGGCGAGAGGAACGCGCGGAGCAAAGGTAAGTGAATTGACACAGGGGGGACTTGGCTTACTACTTGCTACTTACTTACTACTACTATATGAGGGATGAATTAATATGGGGGATGAATTACTATAGGGGGGATGAATTACTATATGGGGGATGAATTACTATATGGGGGATGAATTACTATGGGGGATGAATTACTATATGGGGGATGTATTACTATGGGGGATGAATGAATTACTATATGGGGGGATGAATTACTATATGGGGGATGTATTACTATGGGGGATGAATTACTATATGGGGGATGAATTACTATGGGGGATGAATTACTATATGGGGGATGCATTACTATATGGGGGATGCATTACTATATGGGGGATGAATTACTATATGGGGGATGAATTACTATAGGGGGGATGAATTACTATATGGGGGATGAATTACTATATGGGGATGAATTACTATAAAACAGTGGTTCTTAACCTGGGTTCGATCGAACCCCAGGGGTTCAGTGAGTCAGTCTCGCGGGTTCGGCAGAGGTGAAGACCCACACCCGACTCATATGATTCGTGCAGTAAATATTCATTATTATGTTTTTGTTTTTGTGTGAAAATCATGTTTTAATGGTTTTGTTCTTTGTTCTTAACGGTTTTGTTCATTTTGTGCACCTATGTATAAATATATACCTATGTTTTGAATTTAAAAATCATATTTTATTTTTCCAATTAAGAAGGGTTCGGTGAATGCGCATATGAAACTGGTGGGGTTCAGTACCTCCAACAAGGTTAAGAACCACTGTTCTAGACTCATGGTGTCACACTCCAATCAGCTAACTCAAAACACCGGTAAAGGTTTCTCAAGCCTTTAAAATGATCTCTCAGTCTGGTTCAGTAGCTTACAAAATCAAAGGGAAGACTGCTGACTTGACAGTTGTCCAGAGGATAGTCATTGATACCCTCCACAAGGAGGGTAAGTCACAAAAGGTCATTGCTAAAGAAGCTGGCTGTTCACAGAATGCAGAATCCAAGCATATTAATGGAGAGTTGAGTGGAAGGAAAAAGTGTGGTAGAAAAAGGTGCACAAGCAACAGGGATAACTGCAGCCTTGAGAGGATTGTGAAGCAAAGGCCATTCAAGAATTTGGGGGAGATTCACATGGAGTAGACTACAGCTGGTGTCAGTGCTTCAAGAGCCACCACATACAGACGTATCCAGGACATGGGCTACAACTGTCACATTCCTTGTGTCAAGTCACTCCTGAACCAGAGACAACGTCAGAAGCATTATACCTAGGCTAAAGAGAACAAGGACTGGACTGTTGCTGAATGGTCCAAAGTCCTCTTTTTGGATTAAAGTAAATTTTGCATTTCATTTGCAAATCAAGGTCCTAGAGTCTAGAGGGAGAGTGGAGAGGCACAGAATCCAAGTTGCATGAGGTCCAGTGTGAAGTTTCCACAGTCATTGATGATTTGGGGATCCTAGTCATCTGATGGTGCTGGTCCACTGTGTTTTATCAAATCCAAAGTCAATGCAGCCCTCTACCAGGAAATTCTAGAGCTCTTCATGCTTCCCTCTGCTGACCAGTGTTATGGAGATGCTGATTTAATTTTCCAGCAGGACTTGGTAACTGCCCACACTGTAAAAAGTACCAATACCTGCTTTAACAGTCATGGTATCACTGTGCTTGATTGGCCAGCAAATGTACCTGACCTAAACACTACAGAGAATCTGTGGGGTATTGTCAAAAGAAAGATGAATGACACCAGACCCAACTATGCAGATGAGCTGAAGGCTGCTATCAAAGCAACATGGGTTTCCTTACCACCTCAGCAGTGCCACAGGCTGATCGCCTCCATGCCATGCTGCATTGATGCAGTAATTAATCCAAAAGGAGCCCTGACCAAGTATTGAGTACACACTATACTGTACATTGACATACTTTTCTGTAAGACAAGATTTCGGTATTAAAAATCTTTTTTTCTTTCTATTAGTCTAAGGTAATATTCTAATTTTCTGAGTTTTGGGGTTCTTACTAGTTGTAAGCCATAACCATCAAAATTAAAAGAAAGAAATGCTTGAAATACACTATATTGCCAAAAGTATTGGGACACCCCTCCAAATCATTGGATTCAGATGTTCCAATCACCTCCATGGTTACAGGTGTATATAATCAAGCACCTAGGCATGCAGACTGCTTCTACAAACATTTGTGAAAGAATGGGTCGCTCTCAGGAGCTCAGTGGATTCAAGCATGGTACCATGATAGGTTGCCCCCTGTGCAATAAGTCCATCTGTGAAATATCCTTGCTTCTAAATATTCCACAGTCAACTGTTAGTGGTATTATAACAAAGTGGAAACACCTGGGAACAACAACAACTCATCCACAAAGTGGTAGGCCATGTAAAAAGACAGAGCGGGGACAGCACGTGCTGAAGTGCACAATTCGCAGAAGTCACCAACTGTCTGCAGAGTCAATAGCTAAAGATCTCCAAACTTCGTGTGGCCTTCAGATTAGCACAACAGCAGTGTGTAGAGAGCTGCATCCAAGCCTTACATTACGAAGTGCGATGCCAAACGTCAGATGCAGTAGTGTTAAGCCTGCCGCCACTGGATTCTAGAGTAGTGGAGACATGTTTTCTGGAGTGACAGATCACGCTTCTCTGTCTGGTAATCCAATGGATGTCTCTGGGTTTGCCAGTTGCCAGGAGAATGGTACTTGCCTGACTGCATTGTGCCAAGTGTAAAGTTTGGTGGGGGGGAGGTTATGGTGTGGGGTTTTTTTCAGGGGGGGTTGGGCTTGGCCCCTTAGCTCCAGTGAAGGGAACTCTAAAGGGATCAGCATACCAAGACATTTTGGACAATTTCATACTCCCAACTTTGTGGGATCAGTTTGGTGATGGCCCCTTCCTCTTCCAACATAACTGCGCACCAGTGCACAAAGCAAGGTCCTTAAAGATATTGGTGAGTGAAATAGTTAAGCTAAATCACAAGTTTTTCCTCTGTTTCATCTCTATTTTTCTCATATAAAATAATGTCAAAAAACAGTGTAGCATTTCAAGTTCCATCTTGGGGGCCAGTCCATCCTAAATGTTTAATTGATTAGTGTAGAATGGCTTATTTTAATGTTTTTCACTGAAGGAGGCGTTAACACAAAAAACAAACTTACATACTAACCTCCATGCTGCATTGGTGTGTCCCACACCAGCTCTAAGACTAAGAACTGAGCGATCACATAGTGTAACTGCTGAGCTCGCAGTGGAGAACAGTGACTGTTAGTCACTGCTTATTGCTCTTCTCCTCCAGTGCTCACTGGAACGCTAGGCTTGGGAGACACAACTGGCTCTGGCTCTGAAAGGCATTGGTATCTGTCGATTGGGCATCTGGGAGAATCCGGACAATATTTTCAAGATCCATCCTGAGCTTGGTGTGGCTCTGCTCCATCAGCTGATAGCAGGCAACAGCGTGCTATAAGCGGACTATGGGTCATAGGAGAACAAAAATAAGTGTACTCCTATGATCCTACAAAAGGTTTGGTATACTTCTCAATAATAAGGTATCATGACATTTTGCTAGACCTTGGCTAAGATCCGCTTGCAGTGACATTTTAAAATGTAAACTTATATTTTCATTCCTCTGGTTTTAGCTTGAGTAGGGCTTAGGATGGCCATACATTACACAATGTTTTTGTACAATTTTCCTTTAGATTTACCAATACCAGATAATATGAGGTAATGCCTAAACACTTTCAATTTGTATGCAAATTTTCAGCCCTAGCACGAAATAGTTGAATGTAAATCTAAAGAAAACTGAACAAGAAATATGTATAATGTATGGCTGATCTTTGCCTAGAACACGAGCAAAGTAGTAAACAAAGAGTAAAGCAAACAAACAAACTAGTAAACTAAGAGTTTAGTGCCACCAAATGTTGAGAGAAGTGTCTGTGGCAAATATAGTTTATAGTTAGCCTCAATTGTCATCAAGAGTAAATTCCAGGGACATTTATTTTGGTATAGTTACATTAGTCCACCTTGGACCATGTAACCATGCATGTGCCATACCTAGCCAATCCTCTTGGAAGCTGGCTTCCAGCTCACCATTCACTGATCACCTTGCAGTTTATTTATTCTCAATGAATACA